AATTAATGCTCTACAATACAATTAATGATGTATGTATTTGTAAATTAATGTAAACTGAATCACAAAACATTTAGTGTTTGTAGTTCACATGCTTAATTCTTCAGCAGTCTATCATTCAGTAAGGCTAATGGTTTGACCTCGAGATTTGTGCTTTGTGCACAAGTAAAAAAAACAAAAACGAATCTTTCCATTTAAAATAAAATTATATAAAAAGATAAAGTACTGTTTATTCATACACAAAAAAACAATAAATTTATCTCTTATTTGACATAATATCAATATACTTAAAGAAATGGCTGAAAATTGCAGAAATGTGTTGATTTCTGAAGGGTCCTGAAACTCCAAAGTTTTTGGGTGTCTTTGTGTGAGGTCCCTTGAGACAGCATGCACATGAGTGGGGCTAACTCAACATTGGCAGATGTGATTGGTATGTAATAAAAAAAATGTCAGGGAATAAACAAATCACTGAATTGGTTAAATAATGGCCAGCATAAAATGTGATTTTCTCGTCTTTTAATTTGACTTCAGAGTTGAAAGTGGGCTTAAAGGGTACACTTACCCAAGTTATTTCACAGTCCCTTGCAAGGATATTTATATTAGTATATTCAAAGTCTTTGCTTATATTAGTGCCTCTGTGTTTAACTAAAGAATTACCTATTGACTCTGTCTCTGTTTTGTCTGTGTATTTGCTCTGTTTATTCAGATCATGAGGTACGTTTTGATATGGCATATCGCATGTTGTAATGCAAGCAAGATTTTTCCATCTCTAACAGGACTGTGCTCCTACAAATACACACCAGCATCATTCGCAATGAACACCTCAACCTGCAAAGAGATCACAAAGTGTCATTACCTTCCATTGTAAATCTCTCTTATGACTTTTTATGGCTCTTTATAGAGCATACATTTGAACACACAAACTCATTGTAAATGAGATGCACCTTTTAATGATGTTCTCACGCTCAAATGACCAGAGTTTTATGTCAGTAATGCTGATTTCATGATAAGTAGTCCGTAGATGTTCGTTGTAGTTTGATGCAGTTGTGATGTCACAGAGTGGTGCGTAGGAGACTCATCACACGCTGGTACAGCTGCTGAACAACTGATACCAGATTTCTGCAACACACAAAAGATGTTTTGATTTACAGTTATTCATACACAGGATTTATTCTATTAAAGGGATAATTTACCCTTTCAAAAATAAAAATTGTCGGCATTTACTCACTCTCAAGTTGTAACAGTTTACAAACCTATATGACTTCTTGTGAAACACAAAAAAATAAGTGTTTTTGTCCATACAACGTATATCTTGTGTGGACAAAAACAGCTGAAACACTCTTGAAAACTCATTTGTAATTCTTATTTGTAAATTGTTTTAGATAAAAGTGTCTGCTAAATGAATAAATGTAAATGATCAGAATATCCTATCTTATATTCTATTTATATTCTTGACAATTAAGATTAGATGCTTTCATAGTTTCTGTGCCCATTATGATCTTCTATAAATGCCTTTCAATATAAAATCTGAGACATCATGACTTTGCTTACACCCCTTTACAAACTTATACAAAGAAGAGGATCCGATGTCCTAGCAAAAAATTCAGGAACATAGCATATCACTGGTGGGATCAGTATGACCGTGAATTTAACAGTAAAAAACTGTAAAAATGCTACAGTAAAAACCTGTTAAATGGTTAACGGTAAGTTCCCCTACTATATACGGTGAAAAACTGTATTAGACATTACATGTAAAATTACGGTAGTATACCGTTTTTGGAAGTGAAAAATAAGGTATAATTTACAGTGAATAACCGTCAATTGACATTCCCAGAATTCCTTGCGTTACATTTCAAATTTGATGTTTTTTTGTTGAAATAACTAATGTTTCTTCTTTTGTACATTAGGGTTGAATGTTACATCTAATGTTGTTAAATTAATGTTTATTGCATTATTTCAGTTTCATGTGTGTTACCATTATGGTGTTTAGTGTTTGTGTGAATGACACTGTGAACCTTCTATACATGTTAATATTTAAAAGCTGCTTGTGATAGGCTTTGGTTCATCATGTGACTCTCATCACCACCTGCTTTTGGTGGTTATCAGTG